GGACACAGGGGTACCGGACGGACGCTCCCAACACTGAGCTGCCAAGGTAGTTGTCTCAGTTGGAAACCCTGCCCTATGCATTCTCCAGGGATAACTCTCCAGCCCTCTTCCACGTTTCTCATGCTCCCTGGCGCCCAGGCAACAAATCAGTCATCTCTGAAGCTTACCCCTTTCCACTTCTCAAGTCCTAACTTTTCAGCATCCCTCCCTCCTCCCTTCTTCCCCCTCCTCCCTCCTCCCCCCTCCTCCCTTCTTCCCCCTCCCCCTCCTCCCTCCTCCTTTGCCCTCCTAACACGGACTGCTGCAAATAGCTATGTAAGTGGCTGGCTGCCTTTTCCTTTTCCTGTTTTAGACCTGTGCAGCCCAGCTCTGGGGCCAGCCTTCCAGTCTCGTCTTTATTTTTCCATCCCTTCTTGTATTACGCCTATAGGACCATTTTCTTATCATTCTAGAAATGGCAGCTCCGAGTGCTATTTTTTAAAGTCAAGGTTGACTGGCAATAAAAGAAACAAACGAGAAAACAATTGTATTTCCTAGTGAATTCAGAGAGTAGGCGGCAGCCAAAACTTGGCTAGCCCCTTGTGGCCACAGATCACAATTGCAGGCAAAGTGTTCTGAGTTTGTAAAGAGGTGGATGGAGCTCATGGTGTGGAAACTGGGCTGGCACGGGGAGAGGATGAAGAAGCAGGATGGCTGCATGGGTGCTGCTTTCGGCAAGAACTTGCAGCTCTGTTTCCCTGGGAGCCTTATAAGCACGGCTCCAAAGACCTGGGTGTGTAAAAGAGGGGAGTATCCCACGGAAGCCAGAGTAGCTCGAGGCAGCTGCTCAGTACGCGTTCCCCCATATGGGAATATGCTGTACTGTGCCAGCTACTGGCCAACTAAGGACCTCAATTCCAGGGCTCCTTAATGTCCATTAATTTATATTGAAATAGACTCATGTGGCAAGTGACTATTGTACTGGACATAGTAGGGTTGGATGAATAAAAAGAGCGGTATATACCTCACATTAGTTTCGTTTGTTCGTTTGTTTGTGTTTATCAACACAGGGCCACTTAGTAGTCCTGGCTGTTCTGGAACTTATTATGCAGACTAGATTGGAATCCACAGAGATCCATCCACCTACATCTGCATCCCAAATGCTGGAACTAAAGTTGCATGCCACCAAGATCACCATATCAATTAGGTTTAACGAGTAATAACAAGTAACTATAAAACTAAGCATTGCTATTTCTGTTATTTAACTCTTGTACTTGAGATTTTATTTTTAATTTGCATTCATGAGTATCTGACTGTATGTCAAGTATATGACATGTCAAGTATACGACATGCCTATGCAGTGCTTGAAGAGGCCAGAAGAGGATATCAGATCTCCTAGGAGTTATAGATGGTTGTGAGCTGCCATGTGGCTGCTGGGGATTGAACCTGGGTCCTCTGGAAGAGCAGTCAATGCTCTTAACTGCTAAGCCATCTCTCCAGTCCCTCCTGGTTATTTTCTACTGCAAAAATGAAGGAAAAGAAGATACATTCCCTTAGCTCAAGACACTAGCAATCTAGGGATGACAAGATAAATCAGTGGCTAATTAGCACAGACTCCCCTTGTACGGGATCTGAATTCAATTCCCAGCACTCACATTGGGTGACTCATAGCCTCCTGTAACTCCAACTCCAAGGAAATCCTACACCTCTGGCCTTTGTGGATGATAACATACTTGTGCAAATACCTACACATAGACATATGCATACAATTTAAAATAAAACAAGTTTCTAAGTAATGAAGCTAGTAATCGCAATCTGATAAAGAAAAATGGGTGCCTGTGGGGAGCGGGGACACACATAAGCGTGTGAGGGAAAATACTTCCCCCATCACCACACACACATGAACACCACCTGCAGGACAATCTCTAATTCACAGAACGCAAGTCTCACTTGGGGCATTTCTCATCAATGGCTGACTTTAATAACAGGGTTGATATAATTAGGGTTGTCCTAGGGACACGTGTTCAGGGGAACTAAAACAACATTGTTTTTCAAGGCAAGTGAGGAGTTAAAAAAGAAACGTTGTCTTAGTAAGCCCAAGAATAAGCTGGTAGACAGGATCTAGTGTACGGCCAAGATTCAAACGGAGTAAGGTGTCTGGGACGTCACGTGACTGCAGGACTTTGGTTCAGTTCATTCTTTTTGCTGGGGCCTCCGTTAATGTGAGAATGGGTTCTTCTGGACAAATGAGTTTCAAGAGCATTGTTTTTGAAAAAGAGAGATTACCAGTTCTAAGAATTGGGGCCATCTTCCTTCTACATGGAATCATAGGCTATGAAATAGAAAATAGAGGAAAAAAGCCAGCGAAGCCATCAGGGCACTCATACAGAGGGCACATAATTCCCTGGGGACAGAGTTGGAGATCTTGGAGAAAACGGTATAAATAGGATTAAACGGAGAACAGAAAGATTCCACGTCAGATTTTCTTGTTTTAGTTTTTCGGGTTTCAAGATAAAAATAACAGCACTATATAGGAATAAAATTATATTTTCATAATGATATGGTTTATGAAGCTCCAAACATTTTTGCATTTACTTGTTTAGTGTATGTGTGTGTGTGTGTGCATGTGCACATGTTTGGCATACATGCAGAGGTCAGAGGTCAATTTTCAACAGTCGGTCCCTTCCTTCTACTGTAATGGTCAAATTCAGGTCATCATAAGCTTGGCAGCAAAAGCCTGGACTCAACTGAGCCATCTCAAGGACTTGCACTTATAAAGATTTTCATACTTTGGGAAGATAAGAACATCCTCTGCAGGTATTAATTTTACTATGGAAGCTGCTCAGTGCTCAATATTGCTTTTATTTTTAAAATAGTTATGTGTATGTTTTGCATACACATTTGTCTGTGCACCATAAGTGTGCAGGGCTCCTGAGGCCAGAATAGGGTGTTGGATTCCTCAGGACTGTAGTCACAGATACTTGTGAGCTGTGTGTGGGTACTGGGAACTAAATCTGGGTCCTGTGTAAGAAGTGCTGTTAACCATTGAGCCACAGTATGGTCAGAGGATCTTTCTTTCTTCCTTGTATAGCTTTGCCGTATCCAGGGAGCCATGGAACGATGGACAAAGGAGCACTAGAAGGGTTGAGGACCACTGCCTTGACCATATAACCCAAAAGAAGAAATGCAGTCCCAGTGTGGCATAGACTCATGATGTCTTGGTCCACATAGAGGGATGAGTGCTTGCGCACACGCACACGCGCGCGCGCGCATGCACACACACGCACGTGCACACCCACACACACACACAGAGTCACATGCTCACGCACACAGCACCACAGGAAAAGTACAGACATGAACTGTTTTAACCTCATTCGCCCATGTTTTCTACTCTGGAAGAGACCTATCCAAAGTGAAATGTTTAAACCCATCTGGGGACCTTATTAGGAATAGAGAGCCACAGGCCCACTGCCTAAGGTTCTGATTCAATGCTGCTTAGAATCAAAACTCAAAGCCTCCTAGGTGGTGCAGGCATGAAAGTCAGATTTGGATCCGTAGTGAGTGGCATGCTCTGACACTGCTGGGCACTGTCCACTGTTGCTATGGAAGCTACTGGAGTAGACCTCAGCCTTACTGAAGTTTTGTTTTGTTTTGTTTTAAATCACGTATCTGTTTCAAAAATAGAGGGCATTATTTTTGGAGGAGAAGATGTGCTTTCTCTCCCGAGATACTTATCTTTAGTGAGAAAAAGCAGGGCTCCCCACAAAGCAAAAGATTTTTCTCACTTAAACCATTGTATAGAAAATGCAAGTCCTTTGCCGCAAAAACCCAAGTGGAAAGAACTGACAAGAAGTTATTCCCCGAGGCAAGTTCTAGGACCATCCTTTGGATTTTAGCTGAGGTAAAATGCTCTAATGGAGGAGCTTTGGGCCCTCCTGGTAGTGGGGTTAGGGGATGACTACCCAAGATGGCACCAAGGCTTTGGAGGCCCCAGCGTGAGACAGTCACGAAGGAGAATGAGCCACCAGAAGCTGCTGATGCCTCCGCGTGGCTGGGAAGCTGGGTGACCGGTGCTGACAAATGCACTGTTATCTACAGTCTGACTACAGGAGGAATAAATGGTACCCTCTTCCATCAGGCTTCCAAGGCAGAGAACATGCAGTAGGGAGAGAGGCTAAGAGAGGGTTGCCCATCACTGTGCTGAAGAGTTGGCCTGATACATTTAGGGCTTGGTGGTCTTTTCTTTTTTATTTAAAAATTTGAACCTTAGAGGATTGCATCACAAATGGAAGTTTCTTCGGATTCATTGCTATTTGTAAACCCTAATAGATCTCAAGTACCAAGACAGAGTTTCCTTTCCAAGAATGCTGTCTGGGGTCCATCACTGTGATAGTTCCTATCCCACCAAGGTGGCCAGGAGCACTGTGGATACTGGAGTCACACTTTCCCACAGTGCTGTGCAACAGGAGTCCTTTCTTCTGCCCTTCCTCCATGCCTCCGCTGTGTCAGAGCCAAACCCATCCATACTTCTGAACCATCTCTGAAACCCACGTTAGAGATTTTTAACCTGTGATTCACAAGGATCTTCATGGGCTCTGGGAACCCCTTGCTATCACATATCATGTATGTATACATGTGCATTTGCAAATATATGAAAGAGAGGAGTATGCTCTGGAGGTAAAATTTACCGTCTTTTCCCCTTCCTATTTTGTTTTGTTTTTTGAGACAAGGTTTGTTTGTGTAGCCTTGGCTGTCCTGGAGCTTGCTCTGTAGACCAAGCTGGCCTTGAACTCACAGAGATCTGCCTGCCTCTGCCTCTCAAATGTTGGGATTAAAGGTGTGCTCAACCTCCACCCAGCTCCCCATCATAGTTTTAAGGGGGCCTTCAAATATGAAGTTAAAGAGGTGCCGATTGGTCTTTAGCCTATCCTGTGCGATCCACATAGGTGACAGGTAGAGGCAACTAGGGGACCTAAGGTGGCCAGCAGCCATGGTAGTCAGGGCCCAGCACGGTACTGTACCTTCGAAGCAGCCATCACAGCTGCTGTGGCTGCCACATTCAAGCCCCGTTTCCCGAAGTGCACAAGGGCGTCATAACTCCGATCTTTTGCTTGGACCAGGCAGTCATCAATTTCCTGTCAGAGGAGAAGCAGAGGCACACTGAACTGGCAGTTCAAATACATCTCTTCCCAAATGCAGGCTTGGCAGCTTGCCTGATGGCTGACTCACTGGCCTGTAATGTCACAGACACTTTGGGTGTGTGCTCACAGATAGAAGGGTAGAGAAAGACAGGGCAGCTAAGGCCAAGTGCAAAGGGGAATTCTGAATAAGCAAAAATAAGCCACTCACCGACCCAGCAAGGCCCCAAGGTTATCTCTAAAGTTCCTCTAAGTTCCAGGGATGCAGGTAATCCTCCCTTTCCCTGAGAAGCTGTCCAATAAGACAGATGGAATTCAGCTTGACAGAATGTCACAAGTAAGGCTTCTGACTCAGACCTCAGCTAGTGGTAGAAAAACCTAGAGGCTTGGTTTGCTTGGTTTTGTTCTATTTTTTAAAAAAGATTTATTTTATATGTATACGTGTTTTGCCTGCATGCATGTATGTGCACCATGCGCATACAGGGCCTGTGGAGGTCAAAGAGGGTGCAGGAGCCCCTGGAATTATAGTCACAGATGGTCGTGAGGCACCACCGGAGCGCCAGAAACAGAACCCTGGTCCCCTGGAAGAGCAGCCAGTGCTCTTAACTGATGAGCCATCTCTCCAGCCCCTCTACCCAATTTTCTCTTCTGGAAAAGGACAATAATGGGCGGTGTTTCATTTGTGGTTCATGGTGAGGGTTAACAAGGAGAGCACCTTGGCTACCACACATGATAGCCTCCATTGTCCTCTTCATCTTCAAGGTAGGCACTGGGAACCTTGCAACTCCCAAGTTCTGTTATTCGCAGATAGTGCCTCAGATTAGATACGGAAGGAAACGTGCATTATTTTTGTGGATAAAGGACATTTAATGGATGCTGGAATAAAAGAAATTAAAGTCTCCTGGTCTCACACAAGGGAAAGGCAAGGTGGTAAACGGCACCAGGCTCTTCCTGACCAAAGCAAGGACAGTGCCTCTAATTTAGTTTGATTCTGGATCATCTCTAGTGTATTCTGGTAATTTCTTTGTTTTGTGTTTTTCACTGTTCTGAGGAAGTGGGTGTTTGGTAGCCACTGTGGCTCATTTCAAAGCTCAGTAAGCTATGTGTCCTCAGCCTATTTGGAAGTGATGTCCTTTACTTGGAGGTGGGGTGGGGTCAGGAGCCAGCTGTGGTCCCTGTTCACAGGGAGGTCCCAGCCTCTGTGATCCAGAAGGCTAAGGGAGTGATGCTTAAGAGACACCACATTTCCTCCAATGGCCAGGACACAGCTTCAGGAGACAGAAGAGTGAGACTGATAACCAGGTCAGGAGGTATCCGGTTCTCTAACCCCACCTTTCTGAGACGGGAGAGCTGTGGGCTTGGTTGCAAAGGGGGTGTTCAGGGCTGTCTACAGATGTCCATTTAATTGCTCTGTTCCCCAGAGCCTCCCTGTGCGGGAAGTCCAAAGCATTGAAGTCAGAAAGTGCAGACATCGATACACCAGCAGGAGCTGCCTACAGGGCTCTGTGTGAGGTCGTTTTCTCGGCTTGTGGGAGAACACTCCACAGAGACAACTTGAGGAAGAAGGTTTTGTTCTTGATGGTACAGTTCATCATGGCGGGCAAGACACAGTGGTGGGAGCTGCTCGAGGTCACAGTGGCAGGGACAGGGGACAGCTGTTCCCTACATGGCACAGCCAGGGACCGGAGATCTCAGTGTGCCAGAACCACAGGCAGACAGACACACACTTAAATCCGGCCCCACAAGCCCACATTTGCCCCTTAGACCCCCTGTCCAAAGGGTTCTACAGCCTCCCTAAACAGCACTGCCAGCTGCGTCCAGCCCCTCAAACGCGAGCCTGTGAGGGATAGTTCACATTCAAGATGTAGCACACTCCTATTTCATTTTAAAGAATTCTACCACAAAATTATTAGAAAATCATGTAATTAATGAATTATACACGGTTAGAATCACTTAGGCCAGTAAATCCCACTCTTAGGAAATTGTTTTAAGATAAAAGAAGGGACGAACTCTGTGTGTGGGGGGGTGCCTAGAGCAGAATTACTGTAATAGGAAGAAAACTGGAATAATCTCAATATCTAGAAGGGAACAGTGTTCTCACTGTGGGTCATTCAAAAGACCACGTAGATATGTATTGGGGCAATGTTCACTATCTCGAAATACAAATAGCTCTTTGCTTGGAGATTCGTCCATATCTATTTATTTATTTATTTAGTGTGTGTGCTGCACACATGTTGGGAAGGGGGATGTGGGAACAGCCATGCACATTGGGTGCCTCCCTCTGCTGCTCTCTACTTCAAGAATATTTTAAATTCACCACTATTTATTTTGTGTGTGTGTGAAAGTTGTGGGTCAGAATACAATCTCTCTCCCATCTAGGTTTTGGGGCTCAAACTCAGATTGTCAGGTTTTGTGGCTAGCATGTTTATCCTACAGACCATTTAACTGGCCTTCAATACCTTAGTTTTTAAGCAAGCTCTCTCCTTGACTCTGGAGGGCACCATTTTGGCTAAACTAGCTGACAGGGGGCCCCTGGCCTCTGCTTGTGTCTACAATCCCTCCCCACTCCCCCAGTGCAGGGCTCAGACACGCACCATGCCTGTCTTTTATGTGCTTCTGGGGATATGCACGCAGGTCCTTAGACTTGCAAAGAACTGCGCCTTCTCCTTCCTTTTTTTTTTTTTTTTTTTTTTTTTTTTTTTGAGACAGGTTTTCTCTGGATTGTTTTGGAGCCTGTCCTGGAACTCACTCTGTAGACCAGACTGGCCTCAAACTCACAGCGATCCACCTGCCTCTGCCTCCCGAGTTGCTGGGATTAAAGGTGTGCACCACCATCATCCAGCTGAAGCATCTTGAATACAAATATTTTATCTACAACGAGATTTATTTATTTAGAGACAGGATCTCAAGTATCTCAGACTGGCCTGGAAGACACAACATAGCTCAGGATGACCTCTGAAATTCTGCCTCCACCTTCCTAGGCTGGGATTACAGGTGCGTGCCACCATGCCTGGCTTTACACAGTACGGAAGATTAGCCCTTGGGCTTTGTGCGTGCCAGGCAAGCATCCCACCAGCTGAGCCATCTTCCCAGCCCCTTTTTGTTTATTTGTTTCTGAGATGGAATCTTTTTGTGTTGACTGCACTGGCTTCGGACTCTTGGCTCAATAGGCTTTCCTCCCGTATTCTTGCAAAAGTTTGGACTGCAAAAGTCTGGACAGCTTCATTTTGACAACTATTAAAAAAAAGAGTCTGTACACAATGGTAAACAGCATATGCGGAGATCTTATTTGCAGAATGACATGGGCTGAGTTTGGATAGTTAATTACTTAGTTATTTGAGGTAACACCTGCTTGTTCCTGGCTGGCCTAGAACTCCCTGTGCAGACCATTCTTGTTGCCCTTGACCTGCTTTCAGGAAACCCACCTGCTTCTTCCTTCTGAGTACTGGGACTGGAGGTGTGTGATTTTTGGAGAGTTAAATTATTAACTTTTTTCTTTTTAAAAATATGTATGAGAATGTTTTATCAATAAAAGTAAACAACATCTTTATATAGTTTCACCACTTATTTTTGGAGACAGGATTTTATTTTGTAGCTCAGGCTAGTCTCTAATTTGTAATCTTCCTGCTTCTGCCTCTTGAGAATGAGGATTACAGATGTGAGCTAGCACGCCCAGCCACGCTATCTAAACATGTGCAAACATACAGTTTTTAAACACAGAGATTACTTCTGTATTTCCTTGTCAACAGTATTGCCGTTGGTGTTTTAGGAATGTGCCTGGTGGGCCTGGGACATCAGCTGGTGCTAGAACATTTACCTAGCATTGGGTCCCTGGCTCAATCTTCAACACCACAATAAAGGAGGAATGTTACTGATGGTGGTGTGTGTGTCCGTGTGTGCGCGCATGTTTACGCATGTGTGTGTACATGCGTGCATGCGAGTGTGGAAGCCACACCTCCACCCTCCCACCCTCCTTTTTCTGAGTCAGACTTTACTGAGCTTAGAACTCACTGATGTGGCCAGACTATCTGGGAAGAGGTTTGCAGAGGACCTGCCTATCTCTGTTCCTCCCTACCCACCAGTTACGGGCATGGGCTTGTTCCTGTAGGTGTGCAGGGTCAGAACGCAGGTCCTCACACTTGCATAGCAAACATTTGACTGATGGCACCATCTCTCCAGCCTCAATGTTACTGAGTTCATACTTGATTTTTTTTTTAATTCTTTGACTATACTGAATTCATTTTCAGTTTAGTCTTTTTGTGGGATCGTTAAGTTTTTCTATATATAGAATCAGATTATATGTAAATAGGAGTGGTAGACTTCCTCTCTTCTGGTACATGTGTCTTTTATTTATTTATCTTGCCTGACTGCTCCGGAGAGAACTTCTAAAACTATAAGAATAAGAGCAGTGTAGAAGGACACGCACGTACTTGTCTTATCCAAGGCATAAAGACAAAACAGAAACGTCTGCCCAGTTAGGTACGACACTGGCAATGAGTTGTCACAGTGGTTTTTATGATGTTCATGTATGCTCCTTCTGTATGTAATTCGTTTATATCTTTGTCATGAATATTGAGTTCTTTTTTGAAGTATTTAGTTTTTGATTTATTTGTTTTCTTTTTACGTGTATGAGTGTTTTGCTTATACGTGCATACAAACACCATGTGTTTGTATCTGCAGAGGTCCTAAGAGGATGTCAGATCCCCTGGAGCTGGAATTACAGATGGTTGTAAGTTACCATGTGAGTGGTGGGAAAAACTCACGTCCTCTACAAGAGCAACAAGTTCTCTTAACTGCTGAACCATCTCTCCAGCCCAGGGAATATTGAATCCCTGCATCTACTGAGGTAAATGTGCAGATTTTGAACCAATGAGACCTTGCTATACTATTTGTGGTAGTAAAATATGGAATTAATCCATATGCTCATCATTGGATAACGGAGGAAATATGGTATATATGTATAATGGAAAATTAGTCAGCTATAATGCAAAAAGATAACCTTTCTAAGCAAAAGGGGCCACAATGGAGGACACTGGGCAAAGTGAAATAAGGCAGGACCTGGAGTACAAATACCAAGTGTTCTTTCCTGAGCGGACATTGAAATAGTCAGTTTGGATGCAGAGTTCAAAGGAGGAGAGGAGACAAGGGACATAGGAAGTTGGGCAGCACTAAAGACTGAAGTAATGAGCATTAATGTCTGTAGCGCTGTAGGGGACAGTAGTTCACGGTGAGGGAGGGGGGAGGGAGGGGGAAAACAGAGGGGAGAGAGAGAGGGAGGGGGGAGGAAGAAACAGAGAGAGGGGTGGAGGAAGGGGGGAGAGGGAGGGGGAGGGAGGGGGGGGGGAGGAGGGGGGGAGAGGGAGGGGGAGGAAGGGGGGAGAGAGGGAGGAAGAAACAGAGAGAGGGGGTGGAGGAAGGGGAGGTGGAGGAAGGGGGGGAGAGGGGGTGGAGGAAGGGGGGAGAGGGAGGGGGAGGAAGGGGGGAGAGAGGGAGGGGGAGGAAGGGGGGAGAGGGAGGTGTAGGAAGGGGGGAGAGGGAGGTGTAGGAAGGGGGGAGAGGGGGTGTAGGAAGGGGGGAGAGGGAGGTGTAGGAAGGGGGGAGAGGGGGTGGAGGAAGGGGGAGAGGGAGGGGGAGGAAGGGGGAGAGAGGGAGGGGGAGGAAGGGGGAGAGGGAGGGGGAGGAAGAAACGGGGGGGGGGGCAGGGAGAGAGACGGGGAGGGGGAGCGGAAGGTTCCAAAGACAAAGTAGCAACGAGATAGGACCAACTTCTAATGACCCTGATCTGCTCAGCACATATTGTGCAAATGCTGAAATATCACATCTCACCTCGTAAATACGTACAATCAATATGTCCTAATCATTTTTAAAAACGTGTAAGGAGATAGTAACACTAACTACCTTGACTTGGTCAGTACAAATCGCATGCAGGTATAAAATCATTATGCTGTACTCCATAGATACATACAATTGGAATAATAAAAGTGGGGGAAACAAACAGAAGCTTGCGGAAACGACTGGGGAGGCGTCTCAATGTTTAGTCTTGCTTGGCCTGAAACTTGCTTTGTAGACCAGTCGGGCCTTGAACTCAGAGACCCACCTGCCTCTGCCTCCTGAGTGCTGGGATTAAAGGTGTGCACCACTGTGCCCAGCTTCAGAAGTGCTTTTTAAAAAGGCACTGGATCTGGATACATTGGTGTAACCCTTAACCCCAGCACATGAGAGGCTGAGGCAGGAGGGTCATGAATAGTTGAAGGCCAACCTGGGCTACCTTGTGAATTCAGGGACAGCCTAGGCTACATACAGAATGAGACCCTATGTTTAAAAAATTGAGAGATGGGCCGATGAGATGGCTCAGTGAATAAAGGCACTTGCCAAGCCTTATAACCTGAGTCCAGTTCTCAGGATAGTTGTGGTGGAAGGAAGGATCCATTCATTGTTCCTCCTGCAAGTTGTCCTCTGACCTTCATGTGTGCCATGGCATGCATGTGCCCACACACAATAAATGACACACGTGCGCGCGCGCGCACACACACGCACACATACACGCACGCACGCACACTAAAGGAAACAAGGGACCACAAGGGGTCTCTTTCAACAGAACAATCCTTTCTACACAGAACTTAGATTTTTTTTTTTTTTTTTTTTTTTTTTTTTTGCTTGCTAGAAACGGTGTCAGTTACCTTTTCTTTTGAAGACAGTGTGGGATGAACAAACTTCCTGTACAGGAGGCTGGATCCTTTTGTGTAAGGAGACAGCAGCCAGGCTACAAACGCTATTTTTAGTTCATAATAGAATGGAAACCTGGAAGGATAAGAAAATACACATTCCATCAGGTTCTCAGAGGCCCGTGTAGAAAGATGGTGGTCGACACGGAAGCCTCTCACCTCATACACAGATGGCAGGTTCCTCATCCTCCACCTGTGGAAGGCACGTGCACACACATGCACATCCACACACCCAAGCCCTCTCCCTGAAAGCCGATTCGTGTTTTGTTTTGTTTCTGTTTCCCAAGAGAAGCAGGAAGGCAGGTCCCCTCCAGCGATTAAAATGCTTTGCCTGGCAGCAGCTGCCGTAGAAACGGACGCAGGGCTGTGCTCACTGCGGTTGGTATGTGGATCCAGCCGCAGCTTGTGGACCCGGAAGATCAAGTTTGTATCTGGGCACCTCGTCATTATTTATGGCCAGGAGACACAGAGGCCAGGGGTTTTAGAGCAAGGGGGAGCTGGCAGGGTTTCCTCCCTTTCTTGTCTCAGTGGAGGCAGGGAGAGGAGACCGACTCCACCAAGCAGGGGTCCTACCTACTCTACTCAATTCAGTGGCAGGCCAGACACCCTAATCTTCTTTATGAGTGCCAAAAGAAAGAGGGTGTGGGATGTGAGTAACATGCGATGCCGGACGCCTACACACCCTCGGGCCCTTCCATTCACCTGTCCCACAAACACTCCCCTACATCCATGAGCCAGCATGCGTATGGCAAAGACCCCTGCAGTCTTGGAACGTCTGAGAGAGACAAGATTCTGGCAGCTTGGGCTGAGGAGGTAGTGAAGTAAGGGGCTTGCTTTGCAAGTGTGATCCATGGAACCCACAAAGAAAGGAAAGCCAGGCGTGGTAGCATGTGCTTGTAACCCAAGCACTGGGGAGGCAGAGGCAAGTGGGTCCCTAGGACACTAGCCAGCCAGTTTAGCTTCCTCGGTGATGAGTCACAGGTCACTGAGACCCTGTCTCAAAAAAAAAAAAAAAAAAAAAAAAAGTAGATGCATCAGAGGCCACACCTGAGGCTCTTTTCTGACCTACAAGTACATGCATGCATGCACACAGGCACACACACCTTCAGAAACAACAACAAACAGAAAGAGGTGTGAGAGGAGGGGAGGGGAGGGGAGGGGGAGGAGAGGGAGGGGAGGGGAGGGAAAGAGAGGGGAGGGGAGGGGAGGAATGGAGAAGGGGGAGAGACGGGAGGGGAGGGGAGGAGAGGGAAGGGGAGGGGAGGGGAGGAGAGGGGAGGGGAGGGAGGGGAGGAATGGAGAAGGGGGAGAGGAGAGGGGAGGAGAGGGGAGGGGAGGGGAGGAGAGGGGAGGGGAGGGGAGGAGAGGGGAGGGGAGGGGAGGAGAGGGGAGGAGACGGGAGGGGAGGAGACGGGAGGAGAGGGGAGGGGAGGGGAGGAGAGGGGAGGAGAGGGTCTGCCATCCTTGAATTTAGGATTGACTGATAAAATAATTTCAACCCACACAAGTATTACAGTAAGTCATACTGGGTCTCTGCTATTCTACAGTAAGTCTTTGAAAAATGGAAAAGCCAAGCCTCAAGTGGATGCAGTCAGTGGGCCTCGGTGTGGGAAGTAGAGTTTGACCCAGATTCCAACCCCACCACCTCAGTCTTTACCTGGGGCTCTGAATAATGTAGATTGCCATGAGTTTTGATTTTCTGTGTTCTGACAGTTTGACATCCTGAGGCTTTGCTGACCCTGGGGAAGTGCCCTTACAAGGGTGAGCCAATTCCTAGAGCCAGCCAAGAGTGAGCTCCCCAGCACAAACACAGGCTCCTTCTGAACTTCCTTACGGGTTTTCTAATATTTTACTTTGTGTATATATGTGAGTGCAGCTTTATACATTTAAGTGCAGTGACCATGGAGGCCAGAAGGGGGCATCAGACCATGCAGAAGCTGGGGATCCACCTAATTAGGAGCTCAGAAGCTGATGTGCCAGCTATGAAGGCTGGGAACACAGTTCCAGTCCTCTGTAAAAGCAGCAAGCACTCAACTGCTGAGCCATCTCGCCAGCACCCTCCCCAAGCTGCCTTTACTTTATCTTACAGACAGGGTCTCACCTGTAGTCCGGTGGCCTAGAACTCATGAGGACTAAGCTGGCCTAGTACTTGAAGACATCTCCCTGTCTGGGCTTGGAGGTACAACCACCATGCCCACCTTCCCTCCCTTCCTCCCTCCCTTCCTCCCTCCCTCCTCCCATCCCCCCAAAGTAGAAACAGTCTATTAACAAAGGGAAATCAGCCCTGGGAATGAGAGAGGGCAAGTGAGTGAGGAAAAGGCCTATACTCAGAGCCTTACAGCTCTCACACGCCGCCAATAGTTCAGAGCCCATAGGATCTCATATTCTGCATGTGCTTGTATATCCCCAGGAGCAGGAGCAGGAGCCAGAGATGCTCCTGTATCTCAGAACAACATCCTGTATCTCACTGACAAACAATAGCAACCCCAAGTCCACTCAGCTTCCTAGCCCGTCCTTTCCCATGGAACTGTGCTGACAGTGACAGCCACTGTCCCCACCCTCTGCCTCCAGAACCATCCTGGTACCTACCCTTGTGGCTTTGTGTGGCACGGCAGGCTGTGCTTCCCGTTTCTAGTGATCTGTGAGCTGAATAAATAGCTTCCTTCCTGTCAGTCGTTTTCAGGTTCGAAAGTCTCACCACATCTACTTAAAACAAATCTCGGGCATCCTTAAAACAAGGTGGGAAGGCCTCTTATGCTAGTCTGAGGCATCAAAATGTTGTCTTTCCTAGGCACCCTTCCCAGATAAAGGGAGCTGAAAATAAAAGCAGCCCCTAGCAAGTCCTGTCAGAGCCTTGTCACACTCACCCAGTCCCCTCTCCCCACACCAGCAGTCCTACCTCAGCAAAGCCTCCAGTAGGCTCTTCCTGAATGTTCTCCCAGCAACTGGAGGAGGGGGGAGCTTTCCTGGCAAAGCTGTTTCATCTTTCACAGCCACAGAAGACTGGGGCTGAAGGAGGAGAGGCATGACTGATTCCCCCGGAGTGAAACACGCTGGTGATTAATAACGGAGGGACTTTTGTTTTGAAAACAAATTATTTGTCAGCCCAAGGGAAAGCTGGATCCGGCAAGCTCAGACACCAGCCTAAGATACACAGACAGTCCCAAGGGCAGCCGGCACACTGCAGCTCCTCTGGTTATTATGTAAAAGACATTTTTAAAAAGTAGGTCATGCATGTACATAGTTAAGAAGGGCTAAAGAATCTAAGAGTATACAGTAGAGTCTCCTTCCCAGCCATGACCTCTAGACTCTTTCCTTAATCAGTTTCTTGCACATCTTGAACCAGGAGCTAGGACTATTCACTCATATAGGGACCTGTGATGCCCTTAACTGCCTTGTGGCAGCATTGGTAGCTTGGTAGCCTCTCTAACCCTCCTTCTACACCTTGCTTTTCCTAGTCTGCACTGAATTAACAGTGGAAGACTGTCTTATATCAGAACATGGAAAGCTTCAGTCTTCTTCATGGCTTCCTACAGGTGTGCAAGCATCTCCCAGGCAAAGGCATCGATGACAACTGCAAGCCAAGCTTCCAGCAAACTTCCCTGTGTATGCTTCTTTGCATACACAGGCAAATGAGGCCACGGCGTGGGTGCTCAGGGCTGGATCATCTGTGTGCACTTTGTAGACAGCAGGCACCTCCGTACAGACTGAGTAACCACGTTCTTACTGAACAGCCAGCTAAGAGCCTCTGTCCCAGGCTAGAGATTAGGGTTTAAGGAATGCACATGCCTATTAGACTCTCCTAGGGGCCCCTTGGGACTGCTCAGCCTACCTTGATTCTCTGAACCATTTGTTACAGATCACTTGTTCCTTAGAAATCTTCCTGGTATACCCCACGCATGCTGATGCAGCTTTTAAAATTTTCCTGCAGGGCTGGAAATACAGCCTGTGCTTAGGGACACTTGCTGCCCATCTCAGGGGAATCTGACACCCTCTTCTGGCCTCAGAAGACACACACACATGCCTGTAATGAATGCGTATGCACGCATACACACAAATATACTTTATAAGAATATCTTTAAAAAACAATAATAAAATTTTCCCGTGTCCCCACCGTTGGTTCATTCCGCGGGCCTTCCCTTGTCAGACCAACAGAGCATATTCCAGTGACAGTTAATGCTACAAACATTAACACACCCCCATCTCCCATGTGTTCTCCCAGCCCATCCTCATCACAGGACCAGGACACTGAAGCCGGATGGGATGCTGGTATAGGAATGCAGCAACCCCAGAGATAAGCAGCCTGCCCATTCCTCCAGGACAGGATGTTTACAGGCAGAAAGAAAACAACTCTTAAACTGTGTTGTGGGTGAGGAAGAATGGACAGACCCTAATCTACCTCTACAAATGGTGCACGTGAATGAAAGGAAACCCAGCCTCTCTGTTGGGACTGAACCCCAGGCCATACTAAGCAAATGCTCTGCAAACCAACCACATCCTCAGTCCCTGTTCTTAATTTTCAATGTATTGTTTGAATTTTATTTTGCCATGTGCATAAATTATTTTATAATTTATTTTATAAAAGAAATCACCTCCACAAGTTGTGAAGCAAATCTCACCATCCTATCTATTCTGTGACCACTGAGTTGCTGCTTCCATCGAGGTAGAACATGGGAGGATGAGACACACACACGCGCACGCACACATACACACACACACACACACGCGCGCGTGCGCGCGCACACACGCACGCACACACGCACACATACACACACGCGCGCACGCACGTGCACACGCACAACACACACGCACGCACACACACACATACACAGAACTGTGAGGAGGAAACTGTCCTGGGAAGGGTAGTGAACAGAAGAGAATGCGGATGAGTGCAGCGTGAAGGGCCAGATCCAGGAGAGCCCTTCTCTGCAGAGCCAAGGCCTCCAGGAGTGGGGCAAGGGACCCTCACTTCCCACCCCTGAACTCATAGACACCACCAGCCAGGAGGGCCACAGGGGAACAGGTGAGGCCTCCACTTGACAAGCAGGATTCTACCGTGCCCCGTATAAACACTCCAGACATACCAGGCAATGAAGGCTACTCACAGCTAGCTTTAAGATGGGGAGATACCTAGATTATTGGGCGAGCCTATCCAATCACGTGTTACATAGCAAACATACAGATCTTTGGTTGGAAGTAGAAGACAGAGTCTGAAACCGGAGAAGGATTAAGATACCACCGTGAGCTTGAAGAAGAAGAGAGGTGCCTGTGACTAAAGCAGAGCCCCTGGACAAGTGTTCTGACAACTTGAATGACCGTGAACCTGGAATCTTTTCAAGCCCTCACACAGAGCCCAGGCTGTCCCACACCTTGACCCTGGCCTTGTGAGGTTCTGAGCAGAGAACTTGGTTCATTCAACCCCAACTCCTAACCTGTAGAGATGGTAGAATAAGGGCTGTGTGCAAAAGAGAACTTATGTCTCACCAAATCAGAATCAACTGGCAGGCCCGGGTGTGGTGGCTCACACCTTTAATCCCAGCACTCGGGAGGCAGAGGCAGGCAGAGCTCTGTGAATTCAAGGCCAGCCTGGTCTACAGAGCAAGTTCCCAGCCAGCCAGGCCTATGTAGTAATAACCTATCTCAAAACCACTGAAAAAAATTATACTGACTAAAAAAACAGTGGCTGAGTACTTACTAGGTAGGAAGCTCTAAAACTGTACCATGGAGGGTGGGTAGTCCAGTGACTTGATAGGAGCAGTCACCATTAGCCAGGATTTCTATCCCACAAAGGTAGCAAGGTTAACATGTCTATATTCCAGGAAAGGGCTCCCGAGACTAACACTATCGTTTCTAACACGGGTTAGGAGGCAATGTGGCATTTTGATTGCACACTTATTTTGCCTTGCAGAGCTGGGCCTCAAGCCCAGGATCTCACACACACACTCACCACTAGTACTTCTCTCCTGAGTCTTAGCCCCTTCTATTCCACACTCTCATATTCCAGTTCTTTCCTTCTCTGACATGCGAAAACTTCACCAACCCCATTTGTAGAGGAGCTGTGCCCGTGTAGTCCATATTACATCCCTAGTGCCTTACACAACACCTGCTCTTAGGGAGTTCATCCAGGACATTTACTTGAATAACTTTATGGAGTAACTTACTAAATGTAGACAGAGATATGGGTTAATAATTAAGAGAGAGCTAGACAGTAAGAAGCCTAAGCTATAGGCCAAACAGTGTATAATTACTATACGCCTCTGTGTATTTATTTGGCGCTAACCGGCTGTGGGACCACGTGGGACAGAAACTCTGTCTACAGCTACAAATGTTCCAACTAACACACCAGCTTTGGCCCTGCTCCTCTGGTCCAAGGGAAGGTTGAGGTCCTTTCCCACCTCGCCCTACACCAGACAAAGCTGCCATTTGAAACAGCCCAGTCCCTGGAGCACTTACCAGCAAAGGAAGATGTCTGTGAACGTCTCTGCTGTGGTAAAGAGGGCAAATATAATCCAGTACATCATCCATTTGACCTGTCGAGAAAAAGTTGGTAGACAAGGTTATGGCTGCCCATCCCAAGGTCTCACTTACTATAGGCAGCTCCCCAAGGATGGCACCACTACATAGCCAGTAGGCCCAGCAGAGCTATCGAGGGCATTGGGATGGGAAGGTTATCCTACCAACTGTAATCATATGCATCCTTAAAAGAGGACTCTTCCCAGAGGGTCTGAGGGGGAGGAGACTGTGGAGGAACGCTCAGAGACACAATGCCTCTGGCTCCAAAGAACAGGAAAGCTTTGTGTTGAAGGGTAACTGTCGCTGGGAGCCACAGAGGCTGGGGAACAGACTCTCCTCCAAATACTCCAAGAGAAATAGCCCTGCCTGTGACTCCAGGGTCGAAATGTAAGAGCGCACGTTGTTTAATGCTGGGAAGTTCATGGTAACTTGTTACAGTGACAGTGAGAGGCTAATCTGAAACTCGTATGAAAATTAAAAATAATAACAAAGATATAAAAATGAGGGTATAGCCATAGGAGAGTTACTCAGCATTTTAAATATTAGTAGTCAGGAGGGAGTTATGGTTACAGTCTTAAAATTTTACATTGTCCTGGGATAAAGAGATAGCTCCGCCATTATGAGCACTGGCTGTTCTTCCAGAGGACCTGGGTTCAATTCCTGGCAACTACATGGTGGCTCCCAACCATCTGTAACTCCAGTCTTAGGGGATTTGATGCCCCGTACTTATGGACATTCAGGCAAACCATCCACACACATAAAGTAAAATAAATTCACATTATCCAATAACCTATGTTTTTGTACATGTTATAAATTATAGATGATAATATAATCTCAGGTGTAACCAATTTAAAAAAAATATTTTTAAAAGCTAGTGCAAGAGGCCATTGATTCATTGCAGGGGAAATGGTGTGAAGCTGGTCTCAGGGAGTGGCTGTAGAGAAGGATGGGAGACCTGGCTTGGAAGGTGATAACAGTCCTAAGGATGAGGGAGTGTGGTCCCTCATGAGAACCAATGGAGCTGGACAGTGAAGGAGAGGCTGGAGTCACAGGGAAGCCCCAGGTTTTCTGGACAAATGTGTTTATGAGTGCCACAGCTGAGAAGCATCTGGACAATCTTCATCAAGAAACTCCCTAGACCAAACTGGCCTGTGGCAATGCCCAGGGGAGACTGTCTTGTCGGTTGATGTAGGAGGACCAGCTCACCGTGGGCAGCCCCATCCCCCCCCCATCCCCTGGGCAGGTAGGCAGGTGGTCCTGTGCTGAGTAAGGGAGGTGCTGAGCATGAGCCTAATCGAGACATCAAAACCGTGGTTTCTGCTAAACGTCCTTGCTGTGAATGACTTCCTTGGTTACAAGCATTGCTGTAACCAAGACTAGCAAGCAGGCCTGCCCCTAAGATCCTGCCTGAGCTCCTGGCTGGCTTCTCTCGATGATGGACAGGGACCCAGAACTGAAACCCAAAGCTGGTTTTGATCAAAGTGTTTTCTTTTCTTTTTAATTCTTAATATATTTATTTTATTTTTTAATTAGGTTTATCCAGAAACCTCTTATCTTAAGTCCCAAGCTCTCCCCCAGGGGGAAAAGTGTGCACACGCCAGCCGACACAAACAGCTGTCCTGCTTGTCAGTTAGTTTTCATTCTAAATTAATGAATTGCCATTCTGCTCATACACCAGGCTCCTGTAAGTTTAGTCAGCACCTAACAATTTACCAGGGTTTGATCTCTCCCAGCTGGCTGGGAGCGCGCTCAGCCGCTGCTTTGAGATCAGCCCTGGCACTGTAAGACCTCAGTAGCTCCTCCCTCTTGGCACAGCTGCTGCCTATCACAGGTGGGAAGGGGTCAGGAGGGGCAGGGCTGGGAGAAGCTGCTTCAGCTTGGGCCGTGTCAATTGAGAACCAGGAGCCTCTGTGTTTGCAACTTCAAAGCTATTTATAGTGTGCGTGCTGAGCCGTCCTCACACACACCAGAGACTGGCCTGCAGAAGTTACCCGCTCTGGACTCCCTGGTAGGAGGTAGCTCTGAGAAACTGGGAGAAAGGGGGCCAAGCTTTGTTTGGTTGTAGCTGACCTGGAGGTGTTTATCATAAAGGGTTCGTGGGAGATCCGAGAAAATAATGACTTCCAAGCTAGCTCTGAATTAATTCTTTCTTTTAAGAGTTTACCTTTCTTTTTCTTTCTTTCTTTCTTTCTTTTTTCTTTTTTTGTATGTGTTAGAATGCATTTGTGTTTGCAAGTGCCTGAGGAGAAGATGCTATTGGATCCCTTAAGCTGGAGTAACAGGTGGTTGTGAGCCTCCCTAAATGGGAGCTGAGGTCTGAACCCTGGTCCTCTGTAAGAGCAGCAGTAATCTTAAATATTGAGCCATGTCTCCAGTACTTGAAGTATCTTTTTACCTACATCTCAAGATGGCCAGAGATAATGCTGGGAGCACCCAACATTAATGATTGCAATCCTCTAAAGAGTGAGTCCTCCTGACCCCAAACTTGTCAAGCATCATCTGAGAGGAAGAGGGATTGTTACCATCCCACTGTTCAGAAGATGACCCGAGGTTTAAGCCACTCATCTAGCATGTAATTAGCACCAATAAGTTCCAGTCTGTTTATGACCGAGCCCACATCATTCCCACTTTGACCTGGGCTAGTCCCCTACAATGGAAAGGACATTTTCATTGCATTCTTCACTTGGCACATCTTGGTGCCAAAGGCACTGCTAAATAGGAGGTCCCTGGGATCACCAGGAATGATGCGTGCAGCACCCAAACCACCAACAGTAATGATTGCAATCCTCCACCCAGTGAGTCCTCCTGGTCCCATTGCCTGGTACCAGAGCCTGGTCCCAGCTCTCTGCAAGGTGCTGCAGAGATGGTTATGGACAACTCATCTTCAGAGAGCTTATACATCTACAAGGCTTAAATTCTAGGTGCTGGAAGATGGGCCTGGAAAGGGGTCAGGACTGGAGAGCCAGGAAATAGCCCGGTCAGCTGGCTCCTCAGACCTGTGCACCTCTCAATGCCAGATGGAGGTCTGTGGTCCGCAGAGTTTCCCAGAGAGGGAAACCCAGGCCAGGAGAGATGAAATCACCATGGCACCCGTCTCCAGTTCCGGATGCAACTTCCTCTCATACTTCTCTGTTTTCTTCACTTCGGCACTTAGGGTCTAGACAGGGGTAAGTTTTGGAAGGGGACAGGACTCCTGAGAAGTCACATGAGAAGGGGGAGGCAAGGGGTCCCCTCTTGCTCCCAGTACCCACACCAAAGGACTATCTTCCTCTACCATGACTTCATACTCAGCCACACACTCCCACCAGCCACCCCCAAAGGAGAGGCTTTACTTACATATTCTTTAATGTCCTTGGACTTCACAGCCTTGTAGGAGTAATATGCAGGATAAAGGGTGCCAAATATAAGCCTGGAGAGGTGAGGCAGAGGGAAATGAAGAGATGTGATTTTCAGCGATCCCGTGTAATGGAAATCATACATCAGCTCCAGGGGACTCTTCTCTAGGTCCCCCGAAGGGTTCCTGTCACTGCTGGATGGTTCTTACTTAGCAAACACCTCCTGAGACAGCCCACCCACACACTTCCTACTGCTTTGGCGTGGGCAGCATGGAAGGGTGATTTGGAGTTATGGAGGTCACTGCGGGAAGGGACAGCCCAGCTGAGCAGCCAAGGTGCTGTCCAAGGCCGACTTCCTCTCCTGATGTTGAGCCCCATCAGCAGCTGCTCAAGCCTGTAATCACCGCATCTGACCTCAGCATCTCTCAGCCAGATTACACTTTTATGAAAATCACAAATCTAATCGGGTCAGCCTCTCCTCCCATCAGCGTTACCTCCTCTCCACTTACATCTTGCCCTGCTCTTAAGATGCAAGTAAATATTACACCAGCTGCCTGAATGTCTTCCAGCTCTCACCAGGGTCAGGAAGTAATTAGCTCAGGCTTGCAGCAGCTCTACCTGCCCTTATGCTCTCTACCTAACCTTTGCCAGTGCTGGCTTCTTCTGGAACCTCCCCCTCCAGCTTTTTTGATTAACACCCACTCATTCATCAGATCCCAGTTCCCACGTGATTTCCGGGACACCTCTCTGGCCTCCCAGACTCCTCAGCCTGCCCCCACTGATGCTCTCAGCTTCACGGACACAATATCCGGGTGTTCTTTTACTACTCTTTGGTGCTCTGGTTGATAACCATCTCACCAGTGACCCATAAATGCCCTGAGGGCTGAGAACACTTTTTGAAGAAGAGGAACCACAGGACCTCATCATTTGGTCCAGGACGACCTCAATCTGAAGATCTTCTTGGCCCAGCCTCCTAAGCACTGGGCTTACAAGCATGCAACGCCCTGCCCGAGAACAGGTGTTTTTAAAAATCGCATTTATTCATTAGTGTACGTGTATGTATTCACATGGGTGCCATGGCATACATGCTTGTGGGCGTTAGTACTCTCCTTCCACAATGTAAATCCCAGGGACTGAGCTCAGGTCAGCAGGCGTGGCAGCGAGTACCCTTCAGGTACTGAGCCACCTCAACAGCTCAACATATATTCATGTTTTTCAGACAGAGTCTCTCTATGTAGACCAGGCTGGCCTGAAAATTTCTATGTAGACAAGCTGGCCTCAAACTCCTAGAGTTCTGGCTGCTTCTGTCCCCTAAATTCTGGGGTTAAAGGTGTTTGCCGCCACACAGCCCAATAGTATGAAATGAACAAACAGCGTGTCAGATCTAGAGGGGCTTCATACTTTAACCCGAATGACAAGGTCACCTTGTCATTGCACTGTCTCCTCAGTGCAAGCCGAGGTACAGAAGCCACCCAGTCTCAGTTTCAGGTTGTATAGGAGCCAGCAACCTCAGACAGAGCTTGGGTGGGGGGGTCCCTTCAAGGAACCTGCCTCGTCAGGAAAAATACCATGCAGAGGATGCCCAAAGTCGATGCCCATTGGGCATTCAGAAATCATAAAGACAAGATACGTAATTAACCAAGAAGGGGGCCGCTTTACCGGGAGCACTGCGGCTGGGAGGGGGCAGGGACATCAATGCCTGTGGAAAACAGAAATAACAGCACCGGTCAGTTCTGACAGTGAGGAGAAAGGTGTGTGTGTGTGGGTGCGTGTGTGCGCGCGCGCGCGCGTGTGTGTGTGTGTGTGTGTGCGTGTGAGAGAGAGAGAGAGAGAGGGAGAGAGAGAGGCCTGTTTCTAGTACTTTACAAGCCTTATATATCCCAGACTCCTTGGGCCGAGGAAGACCTGCAGGAGGCAGAGGCAGGAAGATTGCTGAGAGCTGGAGGTCAGATTGGTCTATAGAGTGTGTGTCAAGCCAGCCAGGGTTACATAGCAAGATCCTGTTCAGAACACAAAACAAGGCGGGTGAGGTAGCTTCAAGCCTGATCACCTGAGTTTGATCCCAGGGGCCAAGAGGTAGAAAGGACAGACACTTTCTATTTGTCCTCTGACTTCTACACATTCACTGTGACGCCCATGAACCCCCCCCCCACACACTATAAAGTAAATAAATGTGATTAAAAAGAAGAAGAAGGTGGGTCTAGGGGTGTGTGGCCTGGCCTGAGGGCCCCCAGGTCCGGTACAGGTGACCCCGTGAGGAGGTCTCCCGAGTCACTCCATCCCTCTCTTGGCCTACCCCACTCACAAGCATTCTTCTTAGCCGAGGCCTTCCTGCCCTTGCCACATTGTCCCCACCCCCCACCCCACCCCCCGACACCAGGCTCCTCTCCTGTCTCGCTCGCCTACACTGTCACGGCTCCCTGGATTTTTGACTCCTCGTGTTTATCCTCATGTTTCGGCAGTCTTCCCCGGGGCTGCCTCTCCCACAAGATGGGGCGTCCACAGAGCCAGGGCTCTGCTGTATTTGTAGCTCCATCCCCGTTCCTGGCGTGAAAGGGAGCGCCCAGTGGAGACATCAAAGTCAGCATCTTCTCGGGGACACCTGTGACCTTGGATGAGGTCTGAGCAGCTGGGTGTCTACCACACAGCACCAGGCTGAATCAGCAAGGCCTCAGGCACCATGCCAGCCAATTCTGGGGAAATAACACATGGCTCCTCGGGCACAGATGCCGTGGCTATTACCCACTTCTGCCAGGCTGGTTTCCAGCCCTTGTTCAGAGGCAGCATGTAAACAGTGGAAGACGGATCCAGGGTCTATTTAGTGGTACCTCTGTGAACTCCAGGGACAACACCGTTTTAGTGGTCAGAGCAGGGGAGCTCACAGGGCACTTAACAAGGGAGGCCTGGGCTCCACCAGTCGGTGGGTCGCTTGGGACATGAACTTGTAACCAGCATCCTTGCCTTAGACCTGTCTGACCACAGAGGGGTCCCCCACAGACACATTTACATCTGAGTCTCTACTAACTCAAGATCACATAGCATTTCACATCCCCAGGGAAGAGACTGGGGTTAAAACGGTTGGTTCTCAAGAAGAATGAAATGTCCAGGCTGAAGGGGCTTGGCATTTATGTTTGTTTAAACCAGATGAGACCAGATGAGCTATCCTGAAGAGTTTTAATGTAGGGATGGGGGTTTGGGGTGAGGAAAAACCTAGGGCCTTCTGCCTGCCAGACAGGGCTCTACCATTAAGCTACAAGGTCAGCCCAAATGCCTCTTAAAAGGACATCTCCCCAGTCTCACAGCTGCCTGTCTCCGAGCTTCAGATTAGAGTCCCACCCACTTTCCTGACCTGCCTGAATCTTAGGGTAAGAGCTCCTCTCCACCCAAGTGTCTTGTTTTCCTAGGCAGAGCTCCACTAACCCTTTAAGATCCATCTCAACAAAGCCATTTCAGTGAAACCTGGTCACTTCCCCCTCAGGTTTTTCATACTCTAGCTTTGTTTGGTTTTTGAGACAGCATCTCATCTTGGCAAGGACAACCTCACATTCACTCTGCAGCAAAGGATGAACCTGACCCTCTGATCTTCCTGCTTCTACCCCCTGAATGCTGGGAGCACTGACTTGCCTCCCAGGCTCTGCTTCGTGAACCTATCTGAGCTCTCTACCCACTGAGCTACATCCTCTACCCTGACATTGCCTTTTAAAATCTTTTCTTTTACATAAGGTCTTGTGTAGCCCAGGCAGGCCTTGAACTTGCTATGTTGTAGCCCAAGGTAGTCTTGAACTCCTGCTCCTCCTGCCTCTACTTCTCAAGTGCTGGGATTTCAGACATGTGCCACCATGCTCAGTTTGGCGCTGCAGACTTTTCTGTAAGCATAGGCCATATTTTAGAATCTAACCCCGTGTCCCTACCCCTCCCAATTTCATATGCTTCTTTTTCTTTAATAATCCATCTAATATCATGCTGCCCATATACTCCTGGGTGTAGGGTCATCCACCGGAGCTCCATCTACCTACCAGGGGCCACACCCTTCAAAAAAACCCATTCTCCCTCCTCAGCTAGGAGTCCCTCCCTACCCTATGCTGGAATGTTTACTGGCTTGATCTTGTGCCAGCCACGTGCAGGAAACCACAGCTGCTGTGAGTTCTGGAGTGACGCTATCTTGGCATGTCCACAGGACACAGTTTCGCTCAATCCTCCCCAATCTCTGGCTCTTACAATCCCCGTGCACTTCCTCTATGGCCCCTGAGTCTTGGAGACGAGGATGTGACATAGATGTCCCATTCATCAGCCCCTGGTTTTATTTTTTAAAGATTTACTTATTTTCATTTTATTTGTATGAGCCTGCGTGTTGCATGTGTACTACTCATGCCTGGTACCCGTGGATGTCAGAAGAGGGAGGCAGGGATGTTGGAACCAGAGTTATGGATGGTTGTGAGTCACTGTGTGGGCGTAGGGAACTGAACCTTGGTCTCCTGCAACAGCAGTAAGTACTCTTAGCAGCTGAGCCATGGCTCCAGCTCTAGATTTTTGAGACAGGGTCTAGCTACACAGTTCAGGTTGGTCTCAAAGACATGGTCCTCTTGTCTGGTGACATCCAGAAAGCAGAGGGAGCCAGAGAAAAGCCCAGAAGAAGGTATCACTTTCAAGGACATGCTCACCTTGACCTACCTCTTCCAACAATGTTTCTCCATGAAAGTCCCCATCCCCTCCCAATGACGTCAACAAAATCTGAATCCATCAGTGAATTAACTCATTGATTAGGTCAGAGCCTTCACAGCCCCTTCAGCTCTCAGTGATCAGATCCACTAGCTGGGGACCTAGTCCTTGACACATGAAGCATTTTTTTCGAGGAGGCATGTCACATCAACGCCATAACGGATGCAAACTCTGTAACAACGCCCAGCATCTCCCACTGGGTGGCAGGAAACCGGGCAGCAGTGTACCGAGTACTACTACTTCCTGCAAGCAGGACAGTTCTAACACTCCCCATTCCTGCCAGAACGATGGATGTGAGACGGTGCCCTTGGTGACATTTCCTCAAATGTATGTTCATCAGCTTTTTAAGACTATT